CAACAAACATCAACAACAACTTCGCCCAACAATGTATAAGTATGTCTCTCCCAACAACAAACATCAACAACAACATCCCCCAACAATGTATAAGCATGTCTTCTAGTACAACATTAATACATCTTTCACAACAAACATTAGTGGAAACATCTGAGAAATGTTTAAAACTTGATTCAAAATAGTCCTCCATAACTTTTGATGTTATATTCTTTTCAGTCTAAGATGTGAATTTTAAAATGTACCTGGTTAGATTTAATTGTGAAGAACATACGTTGTAACCTGGCCAGCTATTCTGAATGGGACTCTGGGGAAGATAATCCAGACAGAAGTGAAGGCATGTTATCCGTCATTTGTTAGGATTACACATTTGTGTTGTAATCATATCTTGTAATATCTCTGCATGCTGAGACGAATTGTGACAAGGTAATAATACAAAATGGCTCCCATTTGGTGAAGCCAACCTATATTTCAAGGAATAATTGCTATGACAACAAGGGTCTGTGACCCACGTATTCAATCACCAGCCAACACCACAAAGACTTGTCAATATTAATGTTGATGATTTCTCTGTGAACGTATGATATTGGAATTTCCACATGAATATTAATGAATCTGAAATAGGATGACTTAATTTACTGGCCTGGAGAACCTGATTATTGAGATGTCTTTTTACATGTAATCACACTGGCTTCAGTCTAAACGATATTATCGGATCCACTGACAGCGTTCATTGTAAAGTGTTTTGAGTAATTTCCAATAGAAAAGAGGAAATAAGATTAGAATGTAAGACTATATTTTTGATTGTCCTAATGTAGTACCCATGTTCAGAAACTGCTACGTATCGGCTATCAGGAAACAGGTCTATAGGATAACTAAACATCAATCATGATATTGTGTGCATGCACAAACTTCCTGAAATAAACATGATTAAGATTTTTTTACTATCATATTTTAACACATGTAGTCACAGGCATATTGCTGGATATGAAATTTCAGTGATTTAGATTGAAGAAATAGGTGTAGATCTTAAAAATTTCCTATTCCTAGTAAAGCAGGAAATATATATTTGTTTGATAAGGAAAGTACAGTTGTATGTGAATTGTATGGTATGAAACTTTCCATGTGGTGTAGTGGTGAAGTAGTTCATTCTAGCCTGTGACAGTGGAGCTTGGGGGGTTGATAAATTAAGGTTGTAGCAGAATATATCAATGGACTATCATCATTATCAAATAAAGTGAGAAACAAGTCGCAGCAAAAATTGGTTTTACAATAAAAGAAATAACTTGCATGTTATAAATTCTGTTATTGTAGATAATTTAGCATCTTTCCACCACAAAACAACACTGGGAATTAGCAATTATATCTATTGTGACACATGGGTGAGCTCTGACCTATAGTCATCTTGTGAAGTGCCACAGTCAGCAATACCAAATTGTCATTTAATAGTACAGAAATTAGAGGATGTTTGAATTTGAAAGTGATATATGTGTAACAGATTTGTTGGTAAATATATGATAATAAGTTATATATATATAATATCTGTAAAAGCAAGTTATAATAACAACTGATTAACAAACAAGATCAAAACTTTAAGTACAAATATTCATGAGAGATTTAAATTTGCAATTGTCTCTCCTCGCGTTTTAATGCAATAATAAATCCCACACAAAATACAAGCTATTTACAGTATATTTCTGGTGACATATGGTTCTTTCTTTTCCATAATTTAACGAGTGACAAAGCTTTATCAATTGTATGGATAACAACAAGTTTCTCATAAAAGTGTATTTACAGAGTTAATGTCTATTAAATTGATGTATTAATATATATCATTGTCCATTAATTTAGTTTTTCTACTCGTCTCTACACTCTGATTGAGACAACATTAAAAATAAGACATCTTGTACTTGGGCATTGATAGCTATATATCCTGGGGAGTGGTAAGCCAAGAAATATTATAAAGGGATTTTTTTCCCTGTCAATTTAATGAAGGATAATGATCCCTATGAAGCAGAAAATTATGGTGATCTTAAATAGATATGTAATGTGTTGTGAATTTTCATTTCACAGGAGACCTCATGAGTCTTAGAAGTTTGTATATTTTTCAAATCTTGGCAAGTCAAAATCAAAACTTCAAGACATGTTTCATCAAATATCACGGTTACATTTTAACAAGATTTGAAGTACAAAAAGTGGAGTACAACATAAAACTGGATTCATTTTGTTGAATCATTTTCAGTTCATAACCTAACACCATTGTCCATAATATGACATCACAATTAATTTCTGACAGGCAAAGTCACTTCAGGGTGTATTACATTAGACATATGTACAAAAATATGTTATGTGGGAGAATTCACTTGATAACAAGTTGTGTTATGTGATAATTAGTGGTAATGACTACCTTAATATTCATGTGACTCTACTTTCACTTTGGAACAGATGTCTGTGTAATGTTACCTGTTGTATTTATATACCTATAGAAGTTCATATTATCACTTTATATTCTTATCTGCTATGACATTAACATATGTACTTTACATAAAGGGAAAACACATTTAAGCTGCTAATGCCTGTGTATCAGAATGTGTGGGCTTTTGAGGTTTGTTTGAGGTCACGTGTGAGGAAATCTCTGTGACCTACTGCGGTCACCTATTGTCAGTTGCATGCATTGTCCATCATCTGTCTGTCTTTAGAATAATTTGTCGAACTTCAACTAGAAATATCTCAAACTTGGTCAGAATTATTAGTGTAGGAAGGCAATGAGATAGTATAAACTTATTTATCATGATTGATCCCCAGGGGCTGATGGATGGGGTCAATGGAGTCAGACTGATTCAGATTTCTAAACTCTTCTTGTCAGGTTCAGATTTAGTATAAACAAACATTCTTCATGGATGTGAGGATGTGAGGTTGCACTACTGAGATTGTGAATTTCATGATCCCAGGGTTTCACATCTCCTTTTGGGGAGAGATAAAATATGCTATTGTTTTTCTCAGAAAATGACATTTTTAAAAATGATTTGTTTAATTTCCATCGCCAATAAATAATTCAAATGTGGATAGAAGTATGAGCGTTTGATGGTATTGAAAGTTATGCACAATTTACATTTTTATTACATGTCCAATGATTTTCAAGTTATCTTACTTTGTTCATAAGACAATAAAGATAATTCCTTTTATAAAACCTGGTGGCCATTAAGGCCTCTTGGATCTCTTGTTTTATTTTTATCTTTCTTTAAAAAAAAATTAATTTGTAGTCAGTAATTGTGTGGTCTTTAATTTAGAAATCATTATTTCCTATAAAAAGATCTTTGATTCGTCGTGTGATGAAACAGATCGGGTGTACATGCACTGTATAGCCGCGGTAAATTAAGTGCAGATGGTCTTTATACTTACGACAGAGTCAACATCCAGGGCTTTGTAATGTTAGGTTTGTTAGACCTCATTGGAATGTAAAGTCAGTGCATAAATATTGAACAAGATTTTAAATAGGTCTGTTTGAACATGGCTGATTGATCCAGTTTTGATAAAACACTGTATGAAGGTGGAAGTAGCCTGGTGATGTTAGCTAGATCAGGCGTCGACACGAACACATGAAACAAAAATGTAAAGGTGTGTGGTACTTGACATTGTTGGATGTGTTCCTGGGATCTCAATACATGGCTGTGTAAGGACCAGTTGTAAAGCCAGTATTTACTCCAACACCTTGGACATTGTACCACTAAGTCTAAATCGGGGTATTGAATCCACATAAAATGCTCAGACTGGCAGACAAATGAAATGTATGGTTTACCTGATTCTTATAATAGAGAAGGGAATGGTCAGCCATTCTCTAGCCTACAAATACAGCCATTGATCTGCCCACGTTCCCCAGGACATTCTGATACATAGTGGTGTCTTTTGTGTTTGAAATGACCGCTGTATTATTATAACTATCCAAATGCTCTTGACCAAATCCACTTATTCATTTGACTAGTAAACAGTCTTAACATTCTCTCCTACTCTGAAATTCTTGATTTTTAAAATGCTTTCAGAAATCAATTCCTATCAGATGAATCGTACTCATTAAAATTTTACCTCCTGAGATTATTGAATTTCATGATCCCAGGGTCTCACAATTCCCCTGGGGAGGGGTTAAGGTATACTGTACTTTTTCTCTAACAATAACATTTTAGGCATAATTTGTTGAATTTCTTTTGTCAATAATTCATACATGGATAGAATTATTAGGGTTGGATGGCATGAAATTTTATACACAATTTACATTTTTATTACATTATTCATTACGCAATATGTTTCATGTTATCCTACTTTGTTAACAAGGTAATTTCAAACGAAAAAAAAACACTTTCCTATCAATGGCAGTTTGTATTTCTCAGAAAGCTGAAAAATGGACCAATTTAAGCTTACATGAATGTTTTCTTGAGCAAGACTTTCTATCTCAGTTACTCTGGACAGCATGTAGTTTCTCATATGTTGTTAAGTGAGGTAGCCATCTTGGCTGTTCATGAGGAAATAAACCCAGCAAAGATTCTTGTCATTGGTGGAGTAGTTGGAAAGGGAATATATCACCTGATACAAGTAATTCTAGACATAGGTCACTTGTTAGATTCGTGGGCTTAATCTCTTAAGGTCAAGATATTTGATATCATTTTGGTTCTGACAAATAAAATCAAGATATTAATAGGATTCACTGTATGTATGTTTTATGTCAGTATTTTTACATTTATCTTACGTATCCTTCTTTAAACTTCTACAATCAAGGAAAAATACTTCAGCAGTCCACTCACCTTGATGTTACACATAGCTTTTGTTTATAGCCAGTACTTTAGAGACAGAGCAAAGTCTCAAGGTTTCTGATGGTGTGTATGGGCATGTTTTAGTCTTTGATGTTGTGACCAGTAGCTGAAAAAAAGTTACATTTGAGTTTGTTCTGACATTTCAGAAAAGTACATCTAGCATTTAGAATTAAAAACATGATTTTATTTTACTTGTAGGTTGTCAAGATCATCAGGAATTCTGAGACAGCAGGACGATATGTGAGCTACCGGCTTGTGGTGTAGTTACCAAAGTGTAATAGTGAGGGCCAGTGTGGGAGTATGTTTGTGTATGTATGAGGGTATGACTGGGAAAATTTTTTTCCAACCATTTCTCTTGATGTCCATTGTTCATTTCATTGAAGATGTTTAATTGTTCTGCTGTTTCTGACAGAAGTTGGTCGGAATTTATTATCATGCATTTCGACCTTGGCAGAATGACAATGACTTACAGGTTTACCCAACCAGTTCCATTTTACATATATTTTTCTATCCGTTCCTGTTGAATATTTGTAAGAGGAACAAAACTCAGAAGTTTAACATAAAAGACATAGTGTTGGTGAAGTAGTTTTCACCATTGTCAGCTAAAATCAAGACTCTTTACAAAATATGGTTTCTTCAATATTGAACAAAGAAATATTTCAATGTATGTGTTGTATCTGTTTCTAAGTGGCTTACAAACTTGACCTTTTCTTCCTCTTGTCAGTCAGATTATGATGGCAGGTTTACACAGTGTAGACAATGTACTTACCTTTGTGAAACCATCCCTACCTCACCTGTCTGAATACCTGATAATCAGAGAGGTCAACTCCCTTATAGTCTGTTTGATCAGGAATAAGGCAGGTGTTAATTTGTTGGATTCGAGTGCAAATGACAGTAAAGAATCTGTGAGTCTGTTTGAAAATCTTGTTACTTTTGCAAGTTATCTTGAATACATGAGAATACCTGTAAAATCTGTAAACAGGTATATTTCTACTGTCAGACAGTGAGACAAGTGATTAGCTGGAATTATCACAGATGTTGTTACAGGTAACTACAACAAACACATCGGTTTTACAAATAAGTACATCTTGTTTTGACAGTTTGATGGCTTAGCTTAGTGTCAGATCATCAGAGTAAGGACCTCAAGTTTATCCTTTGTTTTATAAATTCCTATTGTCACTGATTGTGTTATCATTCATTGTTGTAGTATACTTATAGTGACATGATCAAGCTTTTGTTGAGGTAAAGGTTTCTTTATTGACCCAAAAAACGGTTTATTTATTGAGGACATAGCCCTTGGTGATCGTATATCTTGTATCTGGTTGGTTAAAACTGTGTTCATGTATATTGACTAAATACAAAAACATATGATGAAAGATACAAATTTTGTGGTCTCAAAGATAATGATGACAAAGTTATGTAAAGAGTATTCAGAGAAAGGCGTGGTCCATGTCTGGAACATTCTGTGATGTTATAAACATTATGTGAATTTAATCATGGACATATTCAAAACGAGTGAAGATTACATGTGTTTTCTTTTAATTCGTTGCAATCAGTGGACAAAAAGTGGGAGTACATCCATCTTTGTTCATCATAGTTAAGGAGGATTTTATTGTTTTTACTGAAGATTTTAATGTTATAATTAAAAGTTCTGTCACAAGAAGATATGGAGAAATGTTCCTGAAAAATATGATCCTAAAGAGATTACATGTAAAAATAAAATCAGTTTGATGTGAGTTTGATTTTCTGTCTTTTTTTTTTCATACCCAGACACACAGTGAATCACATACTGGTATAATATACATGCAGGTGGATTTAAATGAGCTTAATGAAAATTGTGAATTTGGTTTCCCGAAGATCTCCCATATCCTGTTAGGGAAGGGTTAAATGATGAAAGGTTTTGAGACATAAGGTAAAATGTTTAGTTTCAGATATGCCATTCATAGTACTCTCAATAATCCAGATATACACTACAGTTTCAGTTATTTTGTCTATTTATGTTTCTTTGGGGAAGGGGAATTAATTTCTATAAATACTAGGTCTGAGACCATTTGGGCCTGAGTGGTGGAGAGGTGGAGACCATTAGTGGATTTTAGCAAATTCTTTGAAATCCCTTATAAAAAAACCTTAAAATCATTCTGAAGGAATTACACAGTTTTTACCAAATTTGTTTTGGAGCATTCTTGCGCAAGGGGATTCAATTTTGTATAAACAGTGGATATGACACTTCAGGATCAGAGAAGGGGTGATCAATATGAGAAATATGGAAAAAAAGTTTTAAAATTCCTCAACTGGGACAACACAGTGGAGATAATAGAGGTAAACTTGTAAGAAGAAATGGTGACAGGTGTCCATATTTAGTAAGTGACCTACTGACATTAAAATATAAAAGAAGATGCAGATTTAATTATAGGTATTCACCAGCATTACTGATACAATCTTAGACTTTAAAGGATATCATTATTTGATAACACAGCTGTTATATGTAGATTAATAACTTAAACTTAAGATCTAACAGGAAGATTGGTATCCTTAATCAAAATCAATCAGAAAGGCTGGTATTGTCAAGCAATTAAAATCTAACAAGAACACTGGTATTGTTAATTAGTTACAATTTAACAAAAATATTGGTATTGCAATATAACACTAGTTACAATAACACTAACACAATGATTGGTTATTGTTACAATCTAACACAAATTAGTTACAATAACACAAAGGTTGGTATTGTTAATTAGTTACAATAACACAAATATTGGTTACAATATAACACAAAAATTGTTAATTAGTTACAATCTAACACAAATATTGGTATTGTTAATTAGTTACAATCTAACACAATATTGGTATTGTTAATTAGTTACAATCTAACACAAAGGTTGGTATTGTTAATTAGTTACAATCTAACACAATGATTGGTATTGTTAATTAGTTACAATCTAACACAATGATTGGTATTAGTTACAATCTAATACAAATATTGGTATTGTTAATTAGTTACAATCTAACACAAATATTGGTATTGTTAATTAGTTACAATCTAACACAAAGATTGGTATTGTTAATTAGTTAATCTAACACAAAATTGTTAATTAGTTACAATCTAACACAATGATTGGTATTGTTAATTAGTTACAATCTAACACAATGATTGGTATTGTTAATTAGTTACAATCTAACACAATGATTGGTATTGTTAATTAGTTACAATCTAACACAAAGATTGGTGTTTTTAATTCAAATTGGACAGGAATACACACAATATTCGAAAGTTCTTGAAAGTCTAACAATCCACGATTTCCTTTTTGTCTTCACTTGAATGGGGACAAAAATAAAATCGTTCAGTGTGTGTTTTTTCTCACTCATTTCTGTAGCTAAAATGCCGTCAAAGACTGATATGTCCCTTCGAAATGAGATATCTATCTTGTTGGTAGTCACCTATATAAATATCAAATGTCCCTCCTTTGGATGATTAGAAAAAAATATGTTTGTATCACAAGTAAGTGGTTCAAATAGAAACAGGCTTTCAAACGCAGTAACGTTCCTGACAATTACAGTGTTCAGTCGCCCACGTCTGACAATTGAACCAAGACCACGTTTAGAGTGGAGGAAGATAAAAAAACAAGAAATGAAAAACATGGAGAAATTTTAATATATCTAATTTTATCATGTCTGTACAGTTCAATATAGTTGTCTGTTTACCTTTAAACACTCTCTTGATGACAATAATGGCAAGAGGCTTAGAATAAACTATCAGTTTGTTATATTTACGAACGACATTGACACACTTTCAAGGTCACTTGGGCCAAAGGTTTTCAAAAACTACCAACGATTTCTGAGGAAAACCATATTACAACGAATAATTATCAATATTAGCTGCATATTAGATAAACTTAGGACGATTCTGGTCCAATGACTCCATAGCTATATTATTTATTGTATTCATCACATCCAGTATACCGCGCGAGGACTTGTCAGTTTTACGTCGAGAATGCAAGTAGAAGTAATGCTATATATATATTTAGAAAACAGAGATCGATTTTATCTTTATCAACATTTAATATAGTTTTTTTTTTAAACTTATTTAGGAATACTGGTGTTAGTGTTCAGGTTCCGTTGCATCCTACCACCGTTTGTGCAGTGCGAGATCGTGTTGCCGTGTCTCCCATTTCTTATATGAATAAGAAGAAAAGACATCTCGTACAGTACGACAAAGAATCCTTTGGAAATATATGCATGACGAATAATTCCAGGTGCCAGCCCCGGAAGTACCACACACACAACAGCGGTACACAAGACGCAAAGGAATTCTGTTTGAAACACTCATGTCTTTGAACAGATTCGCTTCACTGGAATCTTGTTTGGAAATTTGCATTCACCTGTTTAAATCACGCACCTGTGAGACTTGAGGGATGGATTTCACCAAATAAAGGATCTTATAGTCTCGTCAAACGACCCAGTGAAATCACTGCACAATTTGTGTTATCTAATTGGTGTGTATAGTGTTAAAATCATTTCTGTATGTTTTCATCAGTGGCATATGTTTGGTTGTTAGAAGTCCGTGTACGACCAGACCAATACATGTACTCGGAAAACCTGCAGATTGTTTAGGACAACACACCTATCTCTGTTATATAGCTTCATATATGTCACTGTTATAGAACGACACGTCTATCTCTGATAGAGAACCACACACATATCCCTGTTATAGAACGACACACATGTCCCGGTTATAGAACGACACGTCTATCCCTGTTATAGAACCACACACATATCCATGTTATAGAACCACACACATATCACCGTTATAGAACCACACACATATTCCTGTTACAGAACCAAACACATATCACCGTTATAGAACGACACACATATCCCTGTTATAGAACCACACACATATCCCTGTTATAGAACCACACACATATATCTGTTATAGAACCACACACATATCCCTGTTATAGAACGACACACATATCCCTGTTATAGAACGACACACATGTCCCTGTTACAGAACCACACACATATCCCTGTTATAGAACCTGTTATATAGCTTCATATATGTCACTGTTACAGAACGACACACATATCCCTGTTATAGAACCACACACATATCCCTGTTATAGAACCTGTTATATAGCTTCATATATGTCACTGTTACAGAACGACACACATATCCCTGTTATAGGACCACATACATATTCCTGTTATAGAACCACACACATATCCCTGTTATAGAATCACACATATTCCTATTATAGAACCACACACATATTCCTGTTATAGAACCACACACATATCCCTGTTATAGAACGACACACATATCCCTGTTATAGAACCACACACATATCCCTGTTATAGAACCACACACATGTCCATGTTATAGAACCACACACATATATCACTGTTATAGAACCACACACATATCCCTGTTACAGAACGGCACGCCTATTTTTGTTGTAGAATGTTGCAATAGAAAGCAATACATGTCGTTTTAATATATATATATATATATGATCAATGAAGTAATAGCTACAGAACGGACAAGCGAATTGTCAAATTTTCAAAGCAACCTACCCCTTGATCAAGACACAAATATTACATAAATTACATCACATATATATAACATAAAACAAACACAAAGTTATAAATCTAAATCGAGAGTGCTGGTGTAAATTTAGGTGTCTCGATAATCCCTTCGAATATAATTGTTTGAGCCAAATAATTGAACCTAAGTATAACTGAATAAAACCGTGGTTCAGTTTTGCCTAGGCTTAAATAACGCGAAATAGATCCAGGTATAAATGCGTTGTACCTAGATAAGAGGACTGATTGATAAGTTCTGAGCCTCATATTTAAGGGTTTGGCTTTTGGCGGACACATTGCATTATATTTCAACATAATTCCCTTCAGTATCTATACACTTTTGCCACCGATGTGTAAGGGTCTCGATGTCACTTTTAAAATAGTGCTTTTCTTGACCGTTCAGAAAGTCTCCACTGTATGTATGACGTCACCATCTGACCGAAAGTGGGTACCGGAATTGGTCTTTTTCAATTTTGGAAATAGACGAAAGTCTGATGGAAATCAGGCGAATAAGGCGGATGCTCAATCAATTCAGAGCCACAGTCGTTAATGGCAGACATGGACTCATGTTTCATCCATAGTCTCAAACCTTTGCAGAAAGTTAGCAAGATCTACCTCTAAAAAGTTCAGATTATCACGCGAAAAAGTCCGCCTGGTGTGCTTCTGATCAACTGTGAGAAGTCTTGATACCCAACGGGCAGCTTTCCCATTTCAAGATCTGCCGTAAGAATGGGGTGTACTCTTTCCTGTGAAATCCCAACTGTAGTGGTTATATATCTGTCTGTGACTCGCCAGTCAGCAATACCAATATCATGAACCTTATTGACAATTTCTGTGGTTGCAACAGACATCAATCCCTAATGTTGCTACCATATCTGTATGGATATCCTAAGGTGCTAGACTTTCTTATTTAAATGTTAACTCTCTGCTCTTTCAGCGATTTTGTCCATTTTGCAAAAGTTAATTGCCTTGTTTACTTTAGAGTGCTACCTCTTCGACATAAACTGACTAAATTACACCAGTCGTAGGGTACACAGGGAATAGGAGAACTGAAAAGGGACATCCCTGATTAACCTACTCAATAAAAGGCACGACTTATCAATTAGCCCTCGTAGAAATAGATGAAACCTGCCTCCTTATAGAAGTATCTGAA